GAAAATATAAGCAACTGTGTCTAGAAGAATCACAAATTAGAAAATGGTTATCAGATAAACTGAACAAGACTAATGAGAAGTTAGCAGACGTCAGTGTCAAACTTCTTGTGGTAAAACAACAGTCTTATTACAAGACCAGTCCTAGAGTTACCTCGTGTTGGAAATCTTAATAATAGTTTAGTGTACAACACAAATCTTATTTCAAGAGAAATCTAAATGATTCCTACCTCAATCTCACAGAGTTAAAAAATCAACAAACAGAACCACTTCTTCAAGATGCAGAGAACTAAGAGAAGCTGCTACTGAATTTGCATCTATGTCTTGTAGAGTTTCTCCTTGAAGATCTACTGATGAGTTAAACCTAACACAAGATCTACCTTTTGGAGCATTACAAGAATATGTATAGATCTTGAAGAAAAGTATATGATCTGAAAGATAAAATTTCATTGACTGGACTGTTTACATAACCTTTAATTGTGTTCCATTAAATACATGACAGGTAAAAATCTTTCTCTGACAAGCGCATGTGCCCTAAGGCAAAAACCTAAAAAAAAAAAAAAAAAGACTTTTTTTAAATTAAAAAAAATTTTTAAAGATCTATTAGGGACACTCACTGATATATCTGGTATGGGGACCAGCAGATGGCGTAATGGCTATGTCACCGGACCCCCATGTAGTCGACCACAGTTTGAGTCCTGGACCCGGTGGCTTAAACTCATGCCAGGTGCATGTGCATGCGTGCCCAAGATCCTGAGAGGAGGATGGAGGAGAAGGGATTGTGGCATGGCCATCCCCCCCCGGGGGGTGATTTCTTGCTTTCTGTCTCTGTCTTTCTGGCTAGCACATGTGCCCTATAGCAAAAATCTCTCAAAAAAAAAAAAGAAATATCTGGTATGAACATGCTATTTTGCACAAAACCAAACATGCAGTTACTGTAACATCTACCAATTATAGTGTCAATCGTTAATCTCAGAAAAAAATAAAGCCTGGGAACCAGCAGTTAGCATAATGGCTATGTTGCTGGACTCCCACGTAGTCGACTGCGGTTTGCGTCCCGGACCCAGTGGCTTAAAACACACCGGGCGCGTGTGCGTGCGTGTCCAAGATCCCGAGAGGAGAATGGAAGAGAAGGGATTGTGGCATGACCATCCCCCCTGGGGAGTGATTTCTTGCTTTCTGTCTCTCTGTCTCTCTCTGTCTGTCTGGCGAGTGCACGTGCCCTATAGCAAAAAAAAAAACCTCTCCCCCCAAAAAAAGAAATAATAATAAAGCCTTACGTTTACTCAAAAACAGATATACAAATACTCACAATGCCTTTATTTGTAAAAGCCCAAACCTAGAAACAACTGTCTTTCAGTCAGTGAAAAGTTCTAAATATACTATGGTAAGTCCATACTTGGAAAACATTTACCAATAAAGGGAGAGAACTAGAACTATTGGGATAACCATTGGGATAATCTCCAGGGGGTTATACTGAGTGAAAAAAGTCAGTCCCCCCAAAATTACAGACCGTATTATTCCATATATGTAACACTTTTAGGATGACAAAACTGTGAGAACGGTGCACAGTTTAGTGGTTACTGATGTTGGGAAAGAGGGCAGGAAGAGGCGACTGTGGCTACAAAGGGTAGTGCAAGGAGTCTTGTGAGAGTTGGCGTCCATGCTGTGATGATCACACAAGTCTATACAGTTTTCTTAGTCTGTTCAGGATGCTGTAACAGAATACCATAGACTGGGTGGCTTATAAACAAGACGAGTTTATTTCTCATAGTTCTGGAGTCTGGAATTCCAACATGAAGACGCAGGCAGATCTGGTGTTTGGTGAGGGCCCATGTTCTCACAGATGGCACCTTTGGCCGTGTCTTTATATGGTGGAAGAGCTAGCTAGCTTTTTAGAGTCAGTTATTCAAATGGCACTAATCCCATTCATGAGGGTTCTACTCTAATGACCTAATCATCTAAACCTCATTTCCTAATATTATCACCCTGGCGATTACCTTTCAACATTGAATTTTGAAGGACATAAACATTCAAACCATAGAAGCAAGTGATAAATTTGCATAAAACAAAACACCACACAAATGGTAAAGATCCGAATAAGGTCAGTGGGCAGTATCTTGGATCATTCTCCTGGTTGTTATATCATACTATAGATATGTACATGTTATATTATACTATAAATAATGAAATGTATCATTATTTAGGGAAACTGGGAAAACAGTAGAAGGGATCACTTATCTTATTTCTTAGAATTATGTGTGATTCTTATTAATCTATAATTATCTCAAAATAAAAAGTTAAAATAAAAAAGGTAGAACAATACGTTGTAGACTTCACTCAAACTTTAGAAATTAATATAGAGGCAAAATGTATCTCTCAGCAATGGAGTAATTAAATAGTATTTTCCAAATAAAAACACACGGAGGGTTCAGGTGGTGGCACAGTAGCAGCACAACTGGACCCACATGAATAGGTCCTGGGTTCATGGCCCAGGACTTTGCTGAGCATACTGGATATGTACCACAATCTGGACTGAATGAGACTGGGGGCAGAATATGGCTTTTCTGCTCATGGAAAAAATAAATAAACTTAAAATAAGTAAATAAAAACATTAGGCTTCAATTATCACTTGAAAAACTGCACATTAAAAAAGAGGTTTTAAGTTAAACGACTACAATCCACAGATTAATTTTATAAACTATAATTTCTTGTATCTGAAGGACATAAGTAAGGAAAATCTTACTTGAATTTATTACACAGTATTTTATACCTAGAACAAAACTGTATGTGGTTTTAAAATCCCCACTAGTTGGGGCCAATATATGGTGTAACAGTTACGTTGCTAGACTCCCACATGGTCTAACACTCAAACACAAAAATGTGGAAGAACAAAGACAAATGCTAAGAGATAGTTGGGACAGGATTTTAAAAGAAAGAAATAAGGTAAGAACTGAAAAGTCTACTGAAGGAATGTGTGATAATTGAGTGTTCTCTTTAGTAAAATGTATAACAAGGAGGGGATGGGAGGGGAGGAGGGTGGCTAACTCTAAGAACAAATTCTTAAACTCTACTATGAGCAAAAGCCACCTGAGAGCTTACTAAAATGCAGATTCCTCAAATGCCTGAAGAAAGTCTTTTAATAGAAAGTTTAAAATAGGTGCTCAAGTGTGCCTACCTCAAATGGAGAAAAAGAGCTTTGTTTCAGAGGAGCAGGAGTTTTTTTTCTGAATGTAGAATATGTTCAATATCAAGTAATTTGTGAAGAGACAAGAGTTTTCAGTTACTTGCTTGTGGTAGCAACCTTTCAACTGCATGTTGTACATCCTTAAAAGGGTCTTGAAATCAACTTCATGAGATCAAGATTATGGTCAAAATAAAAGAGAATGCATTATGCTGTATCACATATGCCAGAGTTAGGGTTGTCTGCAAAATGTTTATTTCAGATGTATATATGTGTGTTTGTGAGAATGCCGTGTGTGTCTTGGGAGGTGATGTAAAATAAAGTCTAAAAGTCACTAGGTTACATTTATTAAGCAAAGACTCTAACACAGAATCTTCCAAGTCAGATCTTCAACAGTAAATCTTTCAAAAACTATGAGAAGCAGGAACCAGCAGTTAGCATAATGGCTATGTTGCTGGACTCCCACGTAGTTGACCACGGTTTGCGTCCCGGACCCGGTGGCTTAAAACTCACGCCGGTGCGTGAGCGTGCGTGCCCAAGATCCCGAGAGGAGAATGGAGGAGAAGGGATTGCGACATGGCCATCCCCCCTGGGGGGTGATTTCTCACTTTCTGTCTCTATCTCTGTCTGTCTGGTGAGCACACGAACCCTATAGCGAAAATACCACGAGACCTATAGCGAAAATATCCCACAAAAAAAAAAAAAAAAAAAACCAAAACAAACAAAAACAAAACTATGAGAAGCTATAAGACCTAATAAAAAAGGGACTTATCTCAGAACAATTTCTTAGACCACTAAAACACCTAGAAGAAAAAAGTCGTAACTTTCAGAGTACAAGTCTTGTGCATCCATGATTGAGTTTATCTCTAAGTATTTTATTCCTTTTGATGCTATTGTAAATGAGACTCTTCATAATATCCTTGTCAGATCATTGATTGTTAGTGTACAGAAATCCAGATGATTTTTGCATGCTGATTTTGAATCCTGCAACTGTGCTGAATTTGTTTAGTGGTTCTGACATTTTTTGTGGAGTCTTTAAGATTTTCTAAATACCAGATAAAGTCATTTGCAGAGGTAATTTTGGTTCTTCCTTTCCAATCTGAGTATCTTTTCTTTCTTTCTTTCTTTTTTTTTGACCAAGTGCTCTGGCTATAGAAGCAAGGAGTGGAATGGTGGCTGCTAAAGGCTGGGGAGGTAGGAGAAGGGGAAATGGGAAGTTTTAGTCAAAAGATACAAAGTTTTGATTATACAAAATCTAAGTCCTAGAGATCCACTGTATAGCACAGTGCCTATAATGAACCACACTGTATTATTACATATTTATAATTTTGCTAAGAAGGTAAATGTTAAATGTTCTTATCACAAACAAAAAAATAATATTGGTAAATAAGACAATAAAACGAGGTGCTGGATTCCCACATGGCTGACTTGTGGTTCAAGTCCCAGACCCAGTAGCTTGAAAATCATTCTGTGCATGTGTGCAAGCATGCCCAAAATCCTGAGAGGGATTATAGTGTTACCATTCCCCTAGGAGGTGATTTCTAACTTCTCTTTCTGTCTCGTTCCAGTGAGTGCATGTGCCCTATGACAAAAAAACTAAAAAAAAGAGAACAGAATGAAACTTTTTGAGGTGCTGGATAGAGCATATAGACTGTGATGGAAGTTTCACTGTATATACTTACCTTTAAATTGATCAGGTCATGTATAGCTTTTAGTATGTTAAAAAAAATTAAAGCATTAAAAGTACTTTTAACTGAGGTGTTTTTTTTTTTTTTTTTTTTTTTTAACCTACTGCCTTAGATGTCTGTATGAGTCTTACCTGAAAGTGCCTTTTGGTAAGAAACACACTGATGCCTCCATAAAGAAATGGCAGATTTCTCTCGATTCTGCAGACCATTTAGTCTTTCTGCTAGGCCGCCTCTGTTATACATACATAAAGTTTAGTTAAAAGAAAACTTCAGAGTAATTGAAAGATTCATATTTTATACCCCTCAATCAAGACAAATAGATCAAACATTTGGATTTTTAACTTAAAAAATGCTTTTCTTTATTCATGATAGAGCACGTGTGCGCACATATAAGAGTGCACAAAGTATGAGAGACAGCACATGTGCATGCATGAGAAAGAGAGAGAGGAGCACCCTTCACAGGGCCTGGTCACACCACAATCCCCTACTTCCAGTTCTCTAGCCCACCAGATCTTGGGGACTCACACAAGTGCCCAGTGTGTTTCAGGACAATCAGTCAGCCTGAGGATTCAAAAAGTGGTTACCATGTAGCTTCCAGAACTGTAATCTGGCACCTTACCACCTGTTCACCATGGCTGGTCCTCGACTTATTTTGATATTACATTCTCTCTTTAGAGTTCCAGGCCATATCCTCCTGGGTCAGGTTTTAGCTATTCTTTTTTTTTTTTTTTTTTTTTTTTTTTTTTTTAAGAATTGTTTTCTTGATTCTTAGAAATATAGGCTAATAGTATTGCCTAAGAATATCATATCTTTAGAAATATTTTAATTAAGTATCAGTCTACCTCCTTTTCTATTCTTTTTTTAGTTCACTTATTCATACCATAAAGATGTACTACTCACCTTTTACCTGTTACATGCTGGCATCTAGCACTTTGCTAGGTACCAGAGACACAAAGACATGACATAGGAGGGGGGCTCACAATGGACTCAGCAGATGGAGATAAACAGATACACGTAAAGTGGGTTCAAAGTTCCAGTCAAGAATAACCTTGCCAAACTAGTGATCAGAAGAAAATTCAAATAGGAGCATTTGAGTATAGACTCCTTATTTGGATTCCACAGAAAACTATCAATCACAAAAACACATGGCTATCAACATTATTCAAAAATCAACTTCCATATATGCCAGGAAGACAACTTATAACAATGGACATATAGGTACTTCACAAGAGCCTGTTCCTATCAATGAATTCATATATTTATTTACATATATAAAAGTATACATATTTATAAATCTATAAGATATATAAAAACTAAACACACACACACACACAGACAAGAGACAAAGGAACAGAAAGAGAAAGAAGGGAGTGAGTCAACAGTTACTAAACATCGACAATCGCATGAGAAATCAAAATCAGCTGTTAACATTAAGGCTACATGCTACATAATTTATCAGTCTTACAAGATTGATTATATCGGGAACCAGCAGTTAGCGTAATGGCTATGTCGCAGGACTCCCACGTAGTCGACCGCGGTTCGTGTCCCGGACCCGGTGGCTTAAAACTCACACTGGGCGCGTGTGCGTGCGTGCCCAAGATCCCAAGAGGAGAATGGAGGAGAAGGGATTGCGGCGTGACCATCCCCCCTGGGGGGTGATTTCTCGCTTTCTGTCTCTATGTCTCTGTCTGTCTGGCGAGCGCACGTGCCCTATAGCATAAAACCTCTCCCCCCCCCAAAAAAGATTGATTATATTATCTCATAGTATTCAAATAATATCCCTCTGAAGTAGAAAGAATAGATGTCAATACCCACCTCAGAGATGCTAAAAAATCAATGTTTAGGAAGGGGTTAAGAGATTTTTTCCATCATATAACTAGCCAGATGAAGAACCAAACGTTAAAACCAGACAGCACATGGGACCAGCAGATGGCTTAGGGGTTACGTAGATGGACTCCCATATGGCCAAGTGCATTTCAAGTCCCGGACACAGAGGCCTGAAATTCATGCTGGGAGTGTGTGCATCCATGCCCAGACTCCCAAAAGGAGAATAGAGAAGAGACTGTGGTGCGGCCATTGTCCCTGGGGAGTGATTCCTTGCTTTCTGTCTCTCTGTCCTTCTCTCTCTCTCCAGCGAGCACACCCTGTAGAAAAATCTCTAAAAACAAACAAACAAACAAACAAAAAAACAAATCCCCAAACAGACAGCGCCAGCCCCAGTAGTACCTGGCATCTATTAGGCTTCTAAGAAATGCTTGTTTTGTGTTACTGTTTTTGTTGTGTTACTTTTTTGTTATGGTTTTTACTTGCACCTACACTCTTACCACTATGACTGAAAGATATTATTTTACTATACACACATACATGCTCACAGACACACAAATCACTAACACCAACTGTTTTCCTATAGACACTATTTCTGAATATGTTTGTGTGTACATATAGTATATATAACATCAAATTTAAAAACAAACAACTCTTATACTAAAGAATGTGACAAACTTTTCTCTCTCTCTCTATATATATACACATATAGATATATATGTATACACACACACACACACACCTCTTAACACACAAGCTCTTCTTCATATCATGTTTACATGAAGTAACTCATACTTCCCCTCTGAACAACACTGTGAAGTAGGTACCATCATTACCTTCATTTTATACATGACAAACTGAGGCACTAAGATGTTACTATCTGTCCAACATGCAACATTTAGTGAGTGGTGTAACTAGGTGCATGCCCAGGTAGTCTGGCTCCAGAACCTACATTCTTAGTCTTTATAATATACCTACTATCTCTTAACAAGTACTATTTGTGTTGTTACTGTGAATTTATAAACATTTTACTAAAGAACATTTCAAACATATAGAAAAGTTTCAAGTACTCAAATATCCACCTTCAAAGCATAAGCTGAACTTCTGATCATATAACTAACCTACATCTCCCTCATCAATCTAGTGATCACTTGAATGAAATAATTATTTATTAAAAATTTTGGTATGAATTTCTATAAGACCTACTGTTTTAAATACAACTGTAATACATTACCAACCTAAAAAAAGACTATTATTTTTCAGTATCACCAAATATAACATCAGTATTCCAATTTCCCTTACTATTCTTTTAAAGAAAATATTATTATTGCCCTTAACACATACTTGTATATATTTATGGGGTATGGTGTAATTTTTCAATACAAAAATACAATGTGTTATGATCACATCAGGGTGACTGGCATATTTATCATCTGAAACATTTGCCATTTCTTTGTGTTGGGTACATTCAAAATTCTCTCTTTCAGCTAACCTTAACTATACAATGAATTACTGTTAACCATCATCACTCTACTATACCCATATAACACTAGAATTTGTTTCTCTTACCCATATATAATTTTTTTGGGGGGGGAGGGGAGAGGTTTTTGCTATAGGGCAAGTGCACTTGCCAGAAAGACAGAGAGAGACAGACAGAAAGTGAGAAATCACCCCCCAGGGGGATGGCCATGCCGCAATTCCTTCTCCTCTATTCTTGACTCTTGGGATCTTGGGCAGGCATGCATGCACATGCGCACAGCGTGAGTTTAGGCCACCAGGCCCAGGACTCGAACTGTGGTCGACTACATGGCAGTCCAGGGACATAGCTGTTATGCCACCTGCTGGTCCCTTCATATATAATTTTGTATCCATTAATAAACACCTCCCTATTACTCTCTTCCCCAGGCTTCCTGACCTCTAGTAATCATCATTCCACTCTCTACTTCTGTAGGTCATCCTTTACAAAAAGTACTTATTTAACATGATGGTCATAATATAATAAATGCAAGAAAAGGCAAAAGGCTGTATTCTATGCCAAATGTTAATTTCAAAGTAATAACTTTATAGAGCAAAAGAGAACAAAAGAGAATCTGAAAGTAGCAATGTCTGAGGTCTAGTCTAGAAACTCTTAAGAAAAATGAAGGACGCCAGCTATGGGGGGGGGGCGGTAAGAAAGAGGGTGTTGTTATGCTATGGCTGAGGCAACACAGAAGGCCTGGGGTATGGTCACGGCTCAGCCTAACCAGGATAGGTGCAGTGCACATGCCTTTGGTCCTCACAAACTGGGAGGCTAGGGCAGGAGGGTTATGAAATGGCAAGACCTTACTGAAAAACTCTCTCTCTCTCTCTCTCTGGAATAAGGAAAAAAAACATGTAGGAACCATAGAATGAAAAATAAGAGCAAAAGTAAACTATGAGCACAGAAGTTCTGTGTACATGGAACTATCCAGAGTCCTCAGATAAAATCTGTGTCTCTAGTTGAGTTTAGAGCATTAGAGATCATGCTGAGAATAACTGCAGGAAATTCTACTTGGATGAGCTCGATCTTTAGAAACACCATGTCCTGGGAACCAGCAGTTAGCGTAATGGCTATGTCGCTGGACTCCCATGTAGTCGACCACAGTTTGCGTCCCGGGCCCAGTGGCTTAAAATTCACGCTGGGCGCATGTGCATGCATGCCCAAGATCCCGAGAGGAGAAGGGATTGTGGCGTGACCATCCCCCCTGGGGGGTGATTTCTCGCTTTCTGTCTCTATGTCTCTCTCTCTGTCTGTCTGGCAAGCGCACGCACCCTATAACGAAAAAACCTCTCCAAAAATAAAAGAAACACCATGTCCTCTCATCAACAACCCTACTTCTGATCAAAAAAAAAAAGAAAAAATTTATATAAATAAAAAAATATATATAATGAATTCACCGAGCAGGTTAAGATACCCTACTTATCTCTTTCATAAAATTAACAGACTGGTGGGGTTAGCAGGTAGTGTAGTGGTTAAGGTGCTGAACTCCCACATGGCTGATCTGGGTTTGAGTCCTGACTTCAACAGTTGAAAATCATGCTAGGCACGTGTGTGTACATGCCCAAAATCCCAAGAGGAGAAGGGACTGTGGCATGGCAACCCCCCTGGGGATGATTTCTCACTTTTCTTCTCTCTGTCTCTATCACTCTCTCTTTGGTGAGCATACACCCTATGGCAAAAATCTAAAAACCAAAAACAATAGACTGGTAATATACCTGAAATGATTACTGGCATCAATTCAGTACTGCTAAATATTTCTATAAGACCAACATAAATCAGTGAAAAAGAATAAAGATTCAAAAATATTATAAGTTATTTCTTGTTAAACCACTCAATAAAATATATTAATAAGCAGCTGCCCTGCCTACAGGGTGGCCCTACTACCTTCC